AACTCGCTCTGTGTTAAGTGAGGTAGCAGCAACACTACCCCCTGGAGAAGACGTGTCTGAAAGCGTGGTTGGCACCATTACCCTTCACAGGAACGAACAACGATGTCATGTTTGGCCTTGCTTAGCAGAGGCACGAGGAAAGCTTTAGAAACCCTCTCAGGGTGATGTGTTTCTTCAGTAAATTACTGATGCCATAAAACACTGCTGTTTCTAGTGTGAAAGAATCCCCAGATTAAAGAGTGCTCTTGTACTACATAGTTTCTGCTTTCTCTGCAGTACATACGTATTTGTTACAGATGTCTCGATGCTCTCAACACTAGTAAGGATTACGATCTGGTACAAAGAACCCGCTGGCATTTGATGGCTGCAGTTTATCTCATTGGCTTAAGAACTCCCTCTAATGAAACGGAGGCTTTGTAACACATCGGAATTTAAATCCTTGGCTTTCGTTCAGAGAACTGGGATGAAACAGAAATGAAGCGAGTTTATCTGCAGTGGTTGCAAACCCTTGATGTCTAATCCTAAACTAGTTGGCATGACTAATAATCTGTACATTAGGCAAGACCTTACTGAAACATGCTTGCGTGTTCTAAACTGAGATTTAAGAGTATTGTAACAAATCTATGTGGAATGATTGTGTAGTTTCTGTTTCTAGCCAGCATTAGTCCCCTCACTTTCGGCAACAGGAAACCAAATCAACATTGGCTAGAAAGAGGGTTGAGTAAGGGTAGCAATGCTACTAGTCTGTCCTGAAAATGTACTTCCAGGTTAGATGGTGGAACAGATGCCTCAGCGCTGAGGAGGAGGAGGTATCTGGTGCACTTGCATAGCTCTATGGAGATGTGTACTTGGGGAATATGGCTTCAGTAGCGATGGAGGTTGAAAACAAAAGGCAGTTCACCACAGTGTGCCCATAATTACATTCGAGAGAGGAATGCCCAGGTGTCTTCTGGGTCAGCAAGATCTTTTTCCTGTAATCAGAGTGCGTTACGCTTGGTAGATCGGGATGTCAGTTTTACTAAATTTTATAGGAGTATTTTCTAAATGTACAAAGTATCTTTAGTTTGAAAATCTTGTAATCTTTGTAACATTGGCTAATGTAGCTTTACAACTGTTGGTTTCGATACTCTGTATTACTGAACAAAAGGGCACAGCGGGATTTGGTAGAGAGAGGTTTATCTATTGATTGTGTAGCCCATTCAGCTAAAGGCATTGGTAGCTACAGCCTGCTATGTGATGCATGGGTCATTTTTCTATTAACATGTGTACTGAGTTGGATGGTCGACTGTAAGGATACTACAGGTCTATTCATGTACTAAGTATTGCCCTTATTTCATTTTAATTTATTTTCTCCAACCTGGTATGTAGCTCTTGACTTCAGCTCTGTGGTATACTGATTTTCCTGCGAGCCAAGTAAGCAGCAGATTTTTGTTTGGTTGGTTTGGTTTGGGTTTTTTTTGGTAGGGAAAGCAGATACCTGCTACACCATCTGATTTAACATATTAATTGGTCCAGCAGATCTATATGCTCCCATCAAGACAATAGGCAGCACAAACAAATGAGACCGGTTGTGTGTCCTAGCTTCTTAACAACGTGTGTGTCGTAACAGTCGTGGTACTTTTTCTACCATTCGAAAGCACTTCAGGACGTTCAGCCATTCGGCCTGCTGGACTGGTTAACTGCTGGACTCTTCGACTTCTCCAGGTTACACTGAGGTGCTAACATGCTTAATTTTAATAAAGTATATTTTGTTTTGTTATGTTTGCTGTCTCTGTGCTCTATACGTATTTCTGAAAGGTTGGTGCCTTGAGCTTGTCTTCTCTTTTGCAAATGTATTTTATTCCTCACGAACTCCTCGGCTGCAACAGCCCAAATATCTTTACATTCATGTAGGGTGTGGGAGAGGGGTTCAAGGTCTGTTGAGTGTGTTAACCGCCTGCCTACACAGAGGTTAGAACTGCTCTGAAGGGCAAATGCCTGTTAGGACAGGAGTGCTCTCTAAACATCCCAGAGTGACTTGAGCAGCAAGGGACAGGCTTCTGGCTGGGGGGATGGCATGAGTGTCCCACCTTAGGCATGGTGGAGGAAGGAGAAAGCATGGCCTCCTGTGAACCAGCCTACCACAGGGAAGAGCTAGCCTTGGTATCTTTGAATCTGTAATTCCACTTCCCAAAGTTCCTAATTTCAGATTGGTTTAGAGCTATTGGTCTCAAACAATTGTAAGTGGAGAAAAAAATTTCATCTGTGCCTCAAACATCATATTTTTGTGTTGAACTGGGAATGTTCACAAAAGTGAACACCTTTCCTCATGAATGCTTTCCCCCAGTTGCTGCTAAATTAAGGTAAGTGAATAACAGTACTGGCAGTGAATTAAGAGGCTAATTCTGTAGGGAGATACCTTAATATGGTAACAAATAAATTGTATTATTGCTCAATCCAAATGTTTTTTCTTCCATTACAACTCCTCACCTTTCTGCACCCTCTAATCTAGCCTGCACCCCCATGGTATATTTCTTCTACCAGCACTGACTGGTTTTGGTTCCTACTTTCCCATGCGTGTATATTTTCAAACATTAGCCCTAGAAAAAAAATTGAGGACTGTGTATTTTAAATGGCTTTTATGGTTCTAAGGGAAAACCTTAATTTCATCTTCATAACAATCACCCCTAGTGATTAAGAGTAACTTCCTTTCTGGGTTTTGAAAATATCTTTAAGTTTTTCTGTAGTAATAAGATAGCAACCCAGTGGGTGAATAATTTTATTTTGTTTAAAATGATGTATTCTTGCTCAGCACCCTCAAGCTCTAGAGCTCAAGCACTAAACAAGTGGTGTGTGTGTTCCCTAAGTGGCCTATATCCAGTGCTGTGGTACAACTTCCCCTACCAGTTCAGCTTTCCAGCCACACAAGAAATCTAGAAATGTAACTCTATCTATGGCATTTATTTAGCTATGTAATCCTAAAATCCTGGCAATGTGGATGAGGATAACACAGCCTGCCTATAATGGGAAGAGCTGCTAGTCAGGCTATCAGCTGGCTGATGGGGTTTTTCATACCTGTAGAGTTTCTGATTGTTCCTTCTCCAGTTTCCCAGACCAGCTGACAAAATCATACTATGACTCGTTGAAGCTCAGGCTAGACTGAGTGAAAACAGCATTCTAATGTACATAGTCTTTACCTAATTGCTCTGTGCACTCATACAAGCCATGGGATTTCATCCACACCTCTGGATTAAACGAAAGAGATGTTCTGAAGGTGGCACACCTACTCACTCGGCTATACCCAGTGTTTGCATTTCCAAGGACTAAGGTTTTTGGACTTTAATAAGGTAAAATCAGCCTATGTGAGAAGGGAGTATAAAAAAGAGCTTCAGCCACAGAGCCCTCCTGAGAGCAAGGTGGTAACCTGTAGCCTGAGCTCTATGTTAAGTTATTCATGATCAGACACGGATGGGAAGGGACAGAGGGGCTCTTATGTGACAAGAAAAATTAACCAGCAGAACCAACCAGGAGGAAGACAGAGACTCCAGTGCAAAGCCCTCTTTCCTGTAGATGAAACCCTAACCAATTTCTCTGCACATGCACAAGGCTTGCTCAGTTCACCTTTATTTCAGAGATCTGTATCACTCCCACTAAATTATTGGGCAAATGACTGTTTTCATGACCTCTAACACAGCATCTTTCGCAAGGTGGGTTCCTCCACAAGGAATATTCTCCAGAGTTCTGACCAAACTCTTTATCTGCAGTTATCTTCCATTGTTGGAAGCCATCAAGTTGGAAGTCAGTGTGTACCCATGCCGACTCCACCTCTGTTTCCCTCTCTCGTGTCCTGCCTCTGACTACGGAAACTGCCTCCTCTTACAGTCCTTCCACTGCTCCTACCTCTGCCCCGTGCCCAGGACCTTGATGGGACAGGGCAGAAGTTACTGTGCCAGTGAATGTCAAGCCAGAGACCCCTCAGGGAACTGGTGGGCTAGACAGCACGGACCAGTAGGCTGGATGGTGGATATCTCTCCCATACAGCCTCAGACTTCCCTGCTCTCTATACAGACAGCAGAAATGCTGATATTCTGGGCTAGATCAGGGGTAAATTGAGAGAGACAGTGCCAACAACCCCAACCTTCTGCTCCTTGCCCTTTTCCTTCTCTGCATCTCACCACATGCTTTCTTTTTACTCTCATGACAAGGAGTGTTGAGGCCCATTCTTGGGGCTTGCTCCCCTTGATTAGGACCCAGGTAGTCTGACCATTCCTTGTATCATTCCCAGGTCCAGAAAGCAGGAGCAGCCTCCCAGGACCAATGGTAAGCATCCAAAGCTTTCACCTTCCTCCTGAGCAGAACCCAGGAGCACTCCCAGGGCCCCAGCATCATAAACTCATCACCTAAGGGCTGGGTGAGAAGCAGCCAAGGAAAATTTGCTCACCTCTGGTCAGGATGCGT